TCTTTTACTCTTCAGCAATAACATGTCGGTTTTCACTTCTCATCATTGTTATCGTTTTGTTCACATTTAACGTTTTGAGATTTTAAACTTGGAAACGGGCCCGTTTTTTTCTGAAATAAGAAAAAACGGAGAGCAAACCTACAGTATGTGCAGAGCTTCTTCCTCTATCACACAACCACAGCACCACCAAGTGGATCCAGACTGCCACTGCAAAGACGCAGATCACGGCTGACCTCATATTTTTTGTGTTAGAGCAGGATAACTGAAGAAGATGCAGATTTGAATAGAAAAACACAGAGAAGCACAGGCACTGCCTGTAGCAGTATATCAGTATAATGACTTTGCAAGTCAAATATAACTGAAGCACTTCTTGTATCAAGCAGAGCCAAATAAAGTGGTAAGAATGCACGTATTTTGTCATCAAGGTCAGGAAATTTTTAGAAAAGAAAAAAGAGATAAAAAAAAAAGAAGAAGCTTTTTTTAAAAAAAAAAAACAACAACTCTGTGATGAGCAGAGACCTTGGTGTTCTTTCTTTGTAGTTAAATTTTTGTACAAGCAGAACGTTGCCTCATTTTTCTTTTCAGTCTTTTCTGCTCTTTGTGCATATCATAAACAGCGAAATTCAGCAGATCTTCTAAATTTAATTTAGAAGATAATTTATTTAGCCTCCAGCTCTATGTCACAAACTCTGCCATATTTTCACATAAATTTAGGCAAGGAGTAAAATGTAAAATGCTATTTAATTTCTATCATATACTCAATCAGTTGTAATAATTTCACAAAGAAAATTATTAAGTGACACATTACCATCACTGAATATAAGAGTTCAACATTCAGGGAAAGATACATATTTGCTTCGTAGCAGAACACAGACCCAAATCTCAGGTAAATTTGCAGCTTAGGCCAATAGATGTGAGATCCAACACAATGTGCACTTCATGGGATGTAAGATCTCCAAGCTCTCTAGTCAAAAATAGCACTAACAAACAACTCTGTTTTTTAGTGATAAATGTTATATGTTATGTTACATGTTACATGTTAGTGCTATATAATATTATTTACTATATACCATGATTTATTCTAGGTTTACTGAAAGGAGGTTTCATTGCACAGCCTAATGAAATCAGTGCATATACACACTGACTGCCACCACACTGTTACTCCCTGTAAATTTTTCAATTTATCAAAAGATACAAATCTTTTCTTTTTTTTTTTATAAATGCAATGTTTTAAAAAAGTTGATTATACTTTCTAAACTTTACATTTTTCCAAAATACAGTTAGTTCAGTTTAGTTTTTCATATCTCACCTTAGAGACGGAAAGCAAAGACAAAACTCTTACATAGGCAAATATACTCACTGGCCACTTCATTAGATATTGCCTTGGTTCAGGCCCTTAGTTAATCATCAAACATGCTGTTTTACCTCCCTTCATTATGTAGTCATGGTTTATATGAGCAGACATTGCTGTAACAAAATGTAAACACTCTCTGGAAAATTTATTGGGTACAATTGTTCAGCTGGTTGTTAATAATTTAATCAGTTACATGGCCGCACCTCAGTGCATTTATGTTTACAGACGTGGTCAAGGTGACCAGCTGAAGTTTACACCTCCAGCAGAATCAGGCTCAGTGAGGGGTGACCATATGCCATGACCAGTTGGGGTGAAAGGAGGAAGACAGGATAAAAACACATTGTGGAAGAGAACCATAAATTAATAATGACTAATAATCAAATACAAAGAGGTGTATACACACATAGTGAGTGAAAAAAGATGAAAAATTGAACAACAGAGATAAAAAAAAAATTCAAAAAAAGTGAAGTGGTCTGATTAGTCTTGATTTGTGTCTGAATTTGAAGTAAACAATATAAAAACATGGATCCATCCCACCTTGTATCAGTAGATGCTGGTTCATGCTGGTGTCGGTGGTGTAATGATGTAGGGGATGTTTTCATGGCACAGTATCAACTCTTTAAAATCAATATGAACAGTAGATAAATGCCACAGCCTACCTGAGTATTGCTGTTGGCCATGTCCATCCCTTTACAACCACCCATCTCCCATCTTTAGTGTATCAATCAGAAGCTAAAATCATCACAAACCCATTTCTTTAACATGACATTGAATTCATTGCACTCAAATGACCTCCACAGTCATCAGATCTCAATGCAAATGAGCATCTCTGGGATGTGGTGGAACAGGATCACAAATATGTGCAGCCAGCAAATCTGCAGCAACTGTGTGACTCTGTCATGTCAACATGGACCCAAATTTCTCAGGAGCATTACCAGCACCTTGTTGAATCTGTGCCATGAAGAAACTAAAAGCTGCTCTAAAGTTAAAGTCTTTGACTTGAAAACTTTTACAAGGGTACATTCACATTTGAATTTACATTGTGTGTAAAGGTAATAAAAGCACTCTAAGACAAAAAGCATGGCCTCAGGTAAATAGCAATGTCATGTTTTAAGGTAATGCTGGTCATTTAATCAGTATCTTTGCTTAAGAGACTGGAGTGGCTAAACAATGGGGACGATAAACATTAACACGCAGTACTTTAGTGTCGAAAGAGTGATTACTGAAACGGTTTACTGTGAACATTTATAAGGTTTTCTGTGTTCTGTATGAACATTATGCAACCTGGAACGTGTTCATTCGAAATGTTTCCTTAATGTAATGCTGTATATTATGTGAATATATATATACATAACAAGTCTTAACTCCAATGTCTTGAACATATTAGGAAATTTAAGAAGCAATAATTTACGGTGGCCCCTAGAGACAAAGCACGTACAAACTCCAAAACACTTGCAAACTCCAAAACACGTACAAACTCCAAAAC